GTCCTATTCTCAGGGTAACCGGTTAGTGTTAGAAATATTTACTTGATTACACTCGATATTTGTTCGGCAAATACTGTAGCAATAACTCTCCTAAGGGCCATCCGGTTATTGAGCCCCACCGATTATTCATTATAATATACTGGTGTGCGTAAGGGGTCCAATATGAGTTTCAAATGCGGGGGTGCAACTGACTACTTAGTCATGTTCCAGTATTCCGGCACTTGGTTGATGTGGCAGTCCAATAAACCGACAAAAGTACAGGTTATTTTAAGCTTTTTAACGTGGGTTAATGAAAGGCGAATGTTCGACAGACTTGACTCGCGTTAGTTTGAGGTCCACAAAATGCAGTCTGCTCGAAATAGTTCTGAGGTTATTTGGGTTGTTAAAATACAGAAATATCATTAGCAACACTGTGTCTAATCTGCAGGAGAGGTAGTTAATCGCTACAGAGGTGTGTCGCATATCATGTGAGAGCGTTATTTCCTGGTCATATAGATTAACTAAGTATATAAATAGAGAGCCTACCTAGCAAGACGTTTGAGGTCACGAGCTGCTCCGCGATACACTCGCTGAACTGACCAGTAAACAAAAACTAGTGGCAGACAAACTATCAAGACTGTCGGCATTGCCAGACATGTAACGATCACGGAACCAAGCAGACCAAAGATGACAGCCAAACAGATATTCAGCCGGAATGGTAAGCTGTCATCCACCGTGCCAACATCGGATGAAAAACGATTGAGAATACGGCCGATAGGAGTACTATCGAAGAACCTCATTTCACCCTGCAAAAGAATTAGAAATGTTTTAGGTGCGACAGGTAAAGTGAGGTGTAAAGGAAGTGCATATAACGTAGATCTGAGCTGCAGGAAGTAAAGAACTGTTATTCGTACTGCCAAGACGGTAACAGATAATGTTTTAGAGGGATTTTTCAGGTTAGGAGTAGTTAAAAAGAGAAGGTACTTTTGGTGGCCACTTGTATCAGAGGAGGCGCATCAAAAACAAGAACCAAATAAGTCTGATGTGCGCAGTGTAATACACCAGCGTGAATCCGTACCAATACAACTACAAAACACACCTCAGGACCGAGGATACGGGGTCTGTCTGTCAGCCTAGTTACGGACTGCCCAATGTGTCCACAGGTGGCCGGTAGTGGAATAACCTCGACTAAAGCCAACTGATGCGTAAACAGACCTTTG